ATTTAGTGAAATACGAATTTCAGTTGTGAATAATTCCTTAAAAAAACATATGTTCAGCTCACATTCCAATCTTCGCACCTCTTCTAAATGTAGTTTCACGTTTGAAGATGCAGTTCCTTCTTCCTGTATTCGTCTATGGAGGGGCTCTCAGCTTATGAGTAGGCTCACCACCTTTATATTTTCCTCTACATTCTGCCCGTTTCCTGTTGTCTATATTTTTCCCTAGGTTTCATTCTATTTAGGAATAACCGTTAATTTCTCCTTTTTCCATTTTGAGTCAAACCCGTCCTTTTTAAATTCATATATAATTTTGTTCTCGGGACATATTTTCTTCTAACACGATAGGTTACGCGTAACTCTTAGCTCCTGAACCTTCGAATTATATATAACACACTGCCAAAACTTAGCCACAAATTACATGAGGAAAAGGGCGGTTTATTGCTTTTATTCATTCTCAATGAGTTTTCCTATTGCCAAAATACTGCTATATATAAAAGGGGGGACGACTTCTCAAAATTAAGAGGTTATTCTCATAGCCAATTTGCTCATACTTTGCAAAGGAATAGAAAAACTAAAATCAAAGTCATATCAGTAATGCGATCCAAAGAATTGGAATCCTTATATTCGAAATCAGGCCAAAAGAGAATATACAGGTAACGACACAGCTTCCATGTCACACCTCTGACCACTAGTGACCCAGGCAGTCAACATAGATATTTTATGATTACGATGTGGGATACGACAAAAAGGGACTCCTCTGCACGAACCATAGGGACACTGAATGTCGTAACTCTTCCAGGATTTACATCAGAAAGTGTGTTATATCTTTACAAAAACAAAATAGCTCTTAAGGAAGCCTCTGAAACATCAAAGAAGAAATAAATCTATTTTAAACAATTATATATTTCCATGTATAAAATCCCAGATGGTATCATAGGATATTACATCGTAGAGCAAGAGATAGAATTGTAGAGTGTGTAATTCAAGCCATAACGCTCAATACAGATAGGAAAAAATTTAGAACACCAATTAATATATGTAAGAAATTTCGTACTTATATATGTTTCCCGCTAACTGTGAATAATTGCCTGTACTCTGAGACATGAAATTTGGCAATCAACTCCTCTCTTATTTGATGCGGTATTGGGCCAGGTGAACATCCCACCTCATATGTGACTTTAACTGTTCTCTGTCGTCCCTACTTCCCCTCCTTTGGGTTGATTTCTTCTCTGTGAACATTGCTTTAGGTACTCTTATTCGTTAAGTTACCTTTGTCTCTTTGGTTATAGGGTGCTACCTCCCCCTTGCATGTTTCCTTCGAGCTTCATGTTTATGTTTGCTCATACTCTTAAGTCAGTTATATGGTTTTACCGTATATATTTATTTTTCGTCTGAAATGGAGAATTGTGCTCAATGTGGCTGTACCTTCAATATATAAACTTCATTTGGGGCATTTGTTCTACTTCATCTTCCTTTTCTCTTCTTCCTAAGATGATAAGTGGTTTGTACGTTATGGATATTCGTATCCTCTCTTCAAAGCTATTCTCGTAACATTAATGTTATCGAAACCAATGATACTCCAGGGAGGAAGGTATTCTGCATATAATACTACTTTTAGGATACGGCTTTTCCTGAAATAATGTTATTGCAGATACATCACAGGAATTTGTAAAACTTTTATCTCCTCATATTACAGCCGGGATTTTAACCCCTTCAAAAAAATAGTACCGCAAATGAGAAGACATCAATGCAGTAGGAACAATGGTTTTATTCAAATAACGAAACGTCCAATGTTTCATCCACCCCATAGTAATATTAGGGGCACAGACCTTTAGCTCACTACATACTACTGGGGATATATTGCCACGGTTAATAGAATAGTGCGCCCTATATAAAAGCACTTTGCGTATATCGAAACCCTGCAAATCATCGTGCTTCCGACACAGGCATCATCATTGCAGAACTTTGCTTTGCAAATAAGAATACTACGGACACGTGAGATTGCTTACATAATATAGCTCCACAGGATGCATTACTCTTATGCTACTGGGGTATTCAGAGAATAGGACTCCGCAGATATCAGTGTCTTTCAGCTGTTAGTACATTCATATAACAGTACTATTAGGAATTCCGCAATTTTCCTCATTGAGAATGCATACACATAAGTACTTTTCAGGCAGTAGCTTTCCTGGAATATTCATGCACTTCAGAGAATAGTGCCTCACTAATAATAGCACACCTGGAATGTCAATACTGTACACACAAAAGTACTTTTAACATCATAGTACTCCGGGTGTAGCAATATTCTTCAAAGAATAGTACTCCAGGCAATTAACAGCATTTGCACAATCCTCTCCTTCATATAATGGAGCCGTTAATCTTATATGGGAACACTTCACATAATGTCCCTCCAGGGATACTCCTTTTCATTATGATACATCATCCTATACCTAACAGTAGTTCTCCTCAAATAAAAGTATTATTCTCAAGAATGTACTTTTAATATAAAAGCACTCCTTGCACACTCGCACTGTTCCAATAATAGTGCTCCAAGGATAATCGTACTCATCCCGACACAACACTTCGCACCTAATGGCACTTTCAGTATAATAGCACTCCAACTCTTCCATATAGCTAAGCCATTAGTACCTTCATACAACAGTACTATCGGAACATTTGCAGTCCTAGCCATCAAAGATCTTGACACATCAATAATGTTCACGCAATCTTTTTCGTGGAATATCCATGTACTTCATAGAATAATGTTTCTCATATAATGGAGGCGTGAACTCTGAATCCATAGCATAAACTACCACTTGGACATCAATACCCTTCCTATAACAGTATTATACTGACATTCCCACGCTCCACCACCCTTAGAAATGCACATGACTCTTCTGCAAACAAGAGGACCCCAGTCGGGCTTGTCCTCTTCATGTAACGGAAAGATAACCATGTCAGTACTTTGGACATAAGAGTACTACTCACACTTGAGTAGCCTCCCTACAATAACACTCCAGAAGATGTTTACTCTTGACGCAACTCTGCACTTCAATTAACAGTGTTATCCGAGTGACACTTTTATTCACTTAATAGTACTCCATAGACATCATCACTTCTAAAGCAATAATACATAAAGGATATAGGTGGCCTTACACAAATCGATATATTATTCCTCTTTGGTAATGCTACCATATAAGTATGATCATGACATTTACATTTCAGATAGGTGGCTATTCTCCTAAATAGACGAAATATCTTCATAATGACTCAGAAAGAAAAAAAAAAATAGGTCGATAAGAATGTTAAGGAAAAGAAGATTCTAATAGACAACAATCACATACAATACAACATATCCACAAGGATGGAGCTGGGAGGGCATCTTCACAATGATGGTACCTTAGGAGATATTTTCGCAATAATGAACGCGAAGGAACATCTTCAAAAGGAAGCGACAAGTAACCATCCTGAAAATACCAGGAGAAAAAATAATCTTCATAAAAAAAATAAACAAAGGAACAGCACCTTAACCATGCCGCGGAAAAAGAGCATATTCATGAAGGAAATCACACCCGAGAGGACAACTTCAAAATGCAACACACAAGAACATCTTCATATTGACGCGACATGAAGGATGTAGCTATGCAGGAATGTAACCCAAAGGAGCATTATAATAGAGACATACCAGATATAAGCATCCTTAAAAGAATGCAACACAAGGAAGCAGCATCACAGTCCCGCGCCAAAACAGTACACATCACAGTGACGTGACACGAGAAAAGCGCAATGACCCGGAGGGGGAGCATCATAAAGATGCAGGAAAAAAAAGCATCGTCATGAAAAAACGACACAGAAAAAATCGTGATAAAAATGCAACAGATAAACGCATCCTCATAAGGAAGCCAGGGGAAGTGGTATCTTCATAAGGATGGTGCAAAAGATATTATCATAAACCAACCCTCCAGAAAAATTTCGTCAAAGGAATGCCACATAAAAGTGTATCCTCATGAGAAAATTAAATAGAGAAATATATATAATGAAGCGGAACGAAACGGCCCGCGCGCCACAAATATAACACATGATAGTACGCCCCAAGAAATTAATCCACATGGAAAGACTTTCGTAAGGTTAAGTCAACTGGACCCGCGTCCGGGAGAAATTACGCCACATGAAAGGACGTTCGCGAAATTTCCCTACGTGAAACCACCTTCGCAAAATTACGCTACATGGGACGACCTGCGCGAAAAATTACGCCATAGGAGACGAGGTCCGCAAAGATTAGGCCACATAACAGGACGTTGAAAAAATCAGGCAACATGAGACGACGTTTGCGAAATTACGCCACATCGGAACGCATATATATAACAGAAAGGCGCCATGAGAAGATACTCTCATAAGGATGCAAGAACCTGAAATGACACCTTCCTGAGAATAATACAGCAGAAAAATGCATGCACAAGCACTATGCGGCAAGGGGAATGATATGCGAGGAAGCTGCGATATGAATTAATATACTTATAAAAGTGCAGAAACCGGAATAAAACTCACACAAGAAGAATGCAACATGCGGGGGGATACTGGTGAAAATATCGGAACATCAAAAAACGGGCTCGCCTAGAGGATGGGGCATAAGGATGCATTCATAAAAGTAAGGTAACTATAAAGGAACCATATAGGCACAGCGGCTCACGAGTTTAGGCGTTACTCATCCGATGTGCATATCTGTATTCCATTGGACTGATAGGGGTTTCCACAGGAAGGCATAAACAGATTTAAGCGCTATAACAACCCCCCCAATCGTATGCAACATACAATTAAAGCTCAATAGGAAATTAGAACTCATATTATACTACTTCAAATTCTACAATCCATTACTCTCTTTATATAGGCATAGATAAGACACGTCATGAACAATCGTGTAATTTTAGGGGGCACACTTTTATGCCAAATAAACAATCTTCTAATCCCAATCTGCAGATAATGGTAACTATGTTTTCCCTGCGCTCAAAAAGGTTTAACCCCCGGTACCATTCTCTTTCCTTCTCGTTGTGTTCCTGCGTATCCCTCTCCCGTATTACGCCAGATGAGCATCATTATTCACCAGGTTAACACCTTCTATTCTTATGACAGATGAATTAATCCTATATATAAAAGGGAAGAAATATATATATATGTCTGTATATCCATGGGTATATATAGATCCCATGGTAACATGTAAAAACCTCAAGAACACATAGGATGTTATCGATCAATAATAGCAATGTATGGAGCTATGTGAATTACTTGTATTTCTTCCGCCAATATGCTCCTTATTTTTCTCGAAATGGATGCATACCAAGCTCATACCCATAATGTAGATTCGCCTAACACCTCCAAATGAGGAATGCCCTATCCTCCTTTCTTAGTTTACTATAATTCATGATATGCAGAATGGGCAACCCGGTTATACTGAGACATATGTTTTATTCTCAGTTTATCCTCATGATTCAATACTGGAATTCTTTCTTAATTTTTATGATGTGTTTGCTGTAATCTATTATAACTACCCCCACAATTCCTTCACTGTTTTTTTCCTCTTCTGTATTATATGTATCTGCGGGTAATCACAATCACTTGGTGCGTCATTATTCTCGTCATCACATATTCATCTCAGTTTCCTTCTGATTGACATACATTGATAGCGCTGTAGGCCCGGTTGTTCTACATAGAAACGTAATACTAGTATTTTTCTGTCTCCTCCTCTGCTAAATTTTGCCCATAATAGGTAATCCTCTGGACGAAATTAATCAAACTGCGTTAGCATATTCCCAGTATTGGACGGCTCCTTTAGCCGGACAAGAGGAATCCTTAAATAGAATTGTTGCAATATTCTGTATTCTCATCATTTTATTGTACGCTGAAGAATGCCTGCCTCTTATTATTCACACCTATACTTAATTCGATTCTGTTAATCCTCTTATTCAGAATTAACGTGCTTCCTAATTAATATTAAATTCATGTAGCAACAGATTCAATGATTGCATTAAGATTGGAATAAGATCCACAGCTCATTTTAAAACTCAATACTCAGCGGAGTATGGTTCTCTCAGAAGATATCAGATTAAGACGAGTGAGTCCCCCATCATAATAAGAGATAACTACTCATTTCCTGAGTAAATTATTAATTGAATAAATTGCAGAAATATCTTCTACAGTTGGTTTGTGACTTGAGCGAATCAGGTATTTTGGAGAAACATGGCTTCTTATTTGGGTTTCCACGCCGCCATCATAGTTTCACAATGCAATGAATACACATTAATGAAGGATGTGTCTAATATTGCAAAATGTATCAAAAAGAGGATAAAAAAGAAGAAACCGTAATAATTCCTCCAATGTTCCACTCGTCGAAACCACCTATTGGGATATATACGCTAGATATTTATACGTAAATCTTACATATCCCGGGCGCCCCACTGAAAAGAAAGCACACTAAGCACATTTTTCAAATGATTCATTCTAATTGTCACATATTCCTATCAGGAGTTTTCGGCAAATATTTATTCATTGTGCACGATTTCCAGACGAATCACCATTTATCGTAACGAACTTTGCTCTGTACATTGTTCACTTTACCAATTCCTACTTTGTGCGTGGATGTCCACGATGATCAAATTAACCTCTCCCCCAAAGGAATGAAAGAGTACAAATTACATTTCACAAAATATGAAGATAACAGAGAATTCATATTACATACGGCTAGCGAAGGGGATTCTTTATGGTACACCTAATTCTTATTTTAACAGTCTGGAAAGATCATGCGCCACAATCGCGTATCACACAACAGGGAAATCTAGCTTATATTCGATGAAAATGCCAGAACTATCCACTCTCCGTATATTGGACAATACGACTAGGAAACTAGCCATAAGGAGTATTATTAACAACTTCCCCTGTGTAGTATACCTTGTATGTCCATTCTGCAACATAACCAATATCAACGCATATGAATAATACATTCACTCATAAAATTAATTATACACTTTTAACTTTATTCATATATCCCCGCAAATGTATGCAACTCTAACCTGAATATAAATAACATGTCCTTTACAGTTATCAGGACATTACTCAGAAGGCCCAATCGTTGGAAATACTATACACACAAATATGTCATTCTACACCACAAAGTAATGAATGAGCTGGGCACATATTATACGACATCTACCAAACGAATTAACGAATAAACTGGAGAGGAACTGCGGAGACTCATGGATTTCTTAACGATCAGTGACCATTTGGATCCTCACCTAGCTTTATTTAAATATTACCATGAATTTCATACATCAAATGAGAAGGATTCCATTTTCTCGTAAAAATATTTCAAAATATATGTTCTCAGCACACGGAACCAGAGAAATAGTACTTATTGTTCCTTCTACCGTGCATACAACAACGACAATTTGGAATGAAATCTCGATTCAGACAAAAATGATTAAGAAGAATCAGCACCTACCTGGAATTTGACCATGGTTTCATGATCCACAGATTTCATTAATGAAATCCAACTGGAAATATAAAAATTTCAGGAATACGTATATGAGGAAGTTACCTGATCACTCGGCATCTTCATGAACAATTTGGCTTCAAATAACTCATAAGAAATAATAATAAAGCTTTCGAAAGTTATTTTAGTCACACATGATCGTACTGCATATACAATGGAGTACGGTTAAAAAAGAATTGTTATATTGCTTGAACAAAGCTTAGGTGATTTTTCCATGGTCATACAATACCGTTATGTCAGCATTCATAAATACATTACACAATGGAGGCCATGGCGACAATAGCATAAACAGTCCTTTCCTTCTATTGTTCCATATACTTCTTATTATTTATACTATTGGTACCATTTCCTCAGGAAAATTTGGCTTATTACAGGACCACTATTACATATACAAAGTGCTACAGTTTTCTTCATATGTACACACTCTCAACCTCTTATAATTTAAGAAAAGAAACAAAAGCGTCATAAGGTTTAATAGTTCCTGTTAATAGTTACTGCAACTACATGTACCTCTTATACCGCTAGAGCTCTTAAATAGGATGTGCAGATAGCTTATGTATTGGCAACATAGTTATGAAGTCAGTTGCTTTCTCATTTATATCTTTTTATCATACATAGTTATGAAGTAATTGAAAATTACTATTTCTTCTTATAAATATCCTCCTCCCATTAGAAGGCTCGTTCTGAATTTCATTAACTTCTACCCAAATTTACATGTAAGCATCACTTTAAGAAGTGATTAGCATCCTGCCCTTTTCACCTATTCTTCCATATTTTTCTCAATTTGGGGCGAATGACAGTTAACACTACGGATAGAGATGCCTTATTTGAGGACACTTATGAAAATCGTTCTACTTTTTCAAATTACACACATTTCGTCTTGCACTCTTCAAAAAAGGACACCGTATTCTAACCAATTATAATTACAAGGCATTTCGTGAAGCAGAATATACAGTATAACTTCAAATGATTGGACTAAATATGTGTTACTATTCCTTTGCAATCATTCTTCATCTATCTTGGAAAGGACATTTTTATAGCAAGACTCAGCAACAATAGCTACATGTCCACAGGGTACTCTGTCTTGG